TTTTTTTTTTTTTGCATCATAATGAAATGATTAAATATAATTTTATAAAATAAAAATAATTTAATATAAAAGAACAAATACCGCTCATTATGAAATCCATTTAGAAATGTTAAAATTCGTTGATAATAGCTAAAACGTTCGGTAACAAGCGCTGGAAGTAAAGCATTTTCGGAAACCATTGTATGTTCATTGTATTCCGGTTGTATAATAATACAGATATATATTATAGCTAATAGCTTGCTAATAATACAAACTTTCCACCATTTTGATAAAATTTTTTCCATAAAAATTGGTGGTTTACCAATTGATTGTGAGAGTAAGCGCATAACTGCAAATAGATTGAATTTTTGATAAGTAAAAATTTGAAAATGATAATTTACAACATTGTAATGTTCGAATATTTTAACCAAAAATCTACATTTTTAATTATTTTTGTAAATTTATTTATTATTTTCATCATGAAAGGGTAATAATATTTTAATTTTATGCTTAATGAAAATTTAATTAATTTTAATCTAATGAAAATTTAATTAATTTTAATTTTATGCTTAATGATTATTTTATTTCTCATAGATTTCACTTAAACATAGTGTGATATGTGACATCTATTCGCTATAGACAAAATACAATTTCATTGATGAACATTAATTTCCAACATTTTTCAACGACGGTTTTAAAATCCGTGTACATTTCCATATTCTCACCATGATCACTAAATGATTTCTGTGATGCTGAAATTATGCAAGAATTGATAAATGCTAATTAAATGCATCTTTGTAAGTTATCTTAAATATTTTCAAAACTATCCTAAACATGATTACACTTACCAGAATTTCTTCATCTCTCTGCTACTATGATTGTAAGAATTTCTACAATCTCATAGCATAACTATTCTTTTGTCCGACGAGAAAACTGACAAAAAACAGCCCGTATTTCATACAGCATTCCAACTAGTAATTAATTAATCTTAACGGATTGACTAATTCCAACTAATTAATTAATTAATCCCAGCCAATAAATTAATTCCCTCACCGTCTCCTCTTTATCTACTACAGAAACTGTGAACTTTTTTCTCGGAATATTTTATATGTAGCATACGAATTTTTACAAAAATTTTTTAAAATAAGCTAGGCTTTATCAACTTTTTAAGCAATATATAAATTACGAGTTCAAAATAAGTAACAACAGTTGTGCAAATTTCTTAAAAATACAAAAATTATAGCGTAATCGTTAATTTATATTTTATAATATATATGAAATTTATAATATATTTGCATTAGCAAAAAAAACAAAACAATATAAAATAAAAAAAAAAAAAAAAAACAAGTGATCGTTATCCTTCACAACTTCATCAAATTTGAAAGCTTTTATAATCTAATCAATAATAACTTATATATTATGTCAAGGGACGGAGATACAATATTACTTGGCACGAATAACACACCAGAACATTTGTCAATAATAACTTCGTACATATGCTGAAGAAACAGTTCAAGCAAGTACTGATACATGGTAACCTTTTGAACTCAAAAAAAACTACCATTCATACTGAAGGGAAAAATCGGGATTTTACTCATTTTTTGGTAAACGAATTTATAAGTTGAAGAGTTGAGTAGATATAATTATACTTAAAAAAGTTTCATACACACTTCGAAATCATCAATGAAATAACATAAACTAAAAAAGGAAAATCCCTGTCAAGAAAACTATTCCACCATATGAACAACGATAAAAGACTAAATCGTTAATGTGAAGAAAATGAAAAAATTTCAAGTACTGCAAATAAATCTAAAATAAATCATTCACTTTCAGCAGCTATAGGAAAACAAGCTCTGAAAAAAAAGAGCATAGGAAGACTCATAAAGCACATACATTGCAGTTAAATACAGCAAATTCCAAATTAGAACTCGGATCAAATAGCGAGCACAAACTCGAATAGCCAACACAGAGCGAAACATAGCTCGAATACCGAGCACAAACTATACGATTTATTAACATGATATTAAAATAACAAAATATTTCGAAATTGAAAGAAAAGGTAGGAAAAAATGCGATACAATTATCGTATTAGGAAGAGACCAGTAGCAGAGGACAAATGTGAGTGGAAAACATCAAGTATTTTAAAAATATATACCTGGAGAATAATTTATACAATTAACTGGAAATGAAATATAACTGATATATAACATGAATTGGAATCAATAATATATGTCATTTTACTTTATAGTATTTTTAAAGAGAATTTTTAATGATAAAAGGAATCATTAAAATGACTTAGGCAATGATAGAAGGAATCATTAAAATTTGAATCCGAACATAGGCTTTCCTAAAGTTCCGATTCAAACTCAAACCCTTTAGCGATGTACAGTGGGGAATAAATATATGCAATGCAAAGTAAATCCTATTTATCAGACAGAATATTCAAATGTTATCTTACTAACATAAGGAGCTGCAAATGGACTAAACCATCGTAAAGAAAATGGACCACCACAGATCATTTGTAAATTTTTCCAACCATCTGGTCCTGAAAAAAAGCCTATGCTAAATAAGCTTAATAGATTCATATTCATATCGACAATAATCCCATTTACTGACGACTGAACCATTTCATTAGGTCGAGTTTCAATTGTTCAAAGGTAACTCCTTTGTTAAGAAGTATTTTCCAATCGTACTTCTTACAAAATTTTACAGTGATCCATGCCATATATGCAACTTACTGAAGCATTACTCAACACCTTATATATTATTATTCTTTATCTAGAAGTAACCGATAATGCATCACATGACTGTGAACACATGGGATAATAAAAAACTAGTTTCCATCAAAAGCTACTTGGCTCATTATAATTTTTATTTCCCTCCTAAATATTTCAATAAATCACATACCAGAATTGTACTGTTCATTTTTGAGTGATTCGATACTAGTCTGGTCGTTGTATATAGAACTGAGCTGAGTGCTGAACATAATAAGTGTGAATATTGCAAAAAGAATAGCTTCAAATAGAAGAAATACAAGTAAAATTGCTGTAACTGGTGGCCCGAAAGACGAACAATTTTGCCAATCACCGCCAACACATAAAACCAATTGCCATATTCCCCAGTACGCGGCATGCGCCGATAACAATGCTATATACATCTATAATGATTGATTTCCATGAAATTTCTAATAAAAAATTAAGATAATAAACCGACAATAAATTAGATAAATCCCTACTATACCATATGTATACGTATCTTTGGGACATGATTATATGCAACCTTATTGATGTGAATACTAAAGTGAAGAAAAAACTAAAAATGTGTTCCAGGAAAGAGATGAGGATGTTTGGATAAAGCAAATGTGAAAACTTCAACAGAAAACCTCATATCATTTCTACACTGTTCTGCAAAACAATCTTTACTAAAGCAAAATTTCCCGGAAAGATCCGTCCAACTTTACCTATTAAGCAAAAACTAGTACCGTGAACAGCACAAAATACTTCTGATTCCCTTCACCAACACAGTTGTTTACCCATGGACAATGATGATCCATTCGCCTTACACATCTTCCACATACACTACAATGATGCGCTCGTTCCGGTTTTACACTGCTGCTGCAAAAATCACTTACTGAATCATCATTTTTCAAAATTACAAGTAATATGCAAATAGTGCAAGCATTCTACATCACTGCAAATTTTTAATTTCACTTATTGTAATAAGATTGTAATACAGTAAAGTTGTCATCTGAAAAAGCACAACTTGATGAAGTCATATAAAGACAGTAATCGAAGCACAATTCAAGTGCCATGAAAAAGTAACGACCAAAAAGACCTTCCCAGAAAAAATATACCAACCGAAACAAACATAAAATCCAAAGGAAAAGAAGTATTTTGCATTAATCAACTGAAACTAACCACTTCGAGCATTTGTAGATGATACTTTTTCGAGTGAATTGTAATCGCTGAATATATTCATCGGTAGCGTTACCTTTCGGCACAGCACCGGGATCAGTGAACATCGTTTTGATATGTGATGAGAATGCCAAGCATACAAGTACGTGGAAAACAACAGCATGAAATGTTTGGTGGACGACATTTTTGGACCAAGATGCCATCATTACTGTCAGCACGCAAAATTCCCCATACAAAATGAGAAACCTGCAAAATAAATGAAATCTAAGACGACACACAAACAGTGTGTAAAGCTAAATTATATGGTAATCGTCTACTTCTAGCTTTTAAATTCCTCCCCATTAGATCTGAAAATCATAAATAACCTATATCTTCTTCAAAAAAGGATAAACTGCACAAACAGTGGGAGAGGAAAGAAAGGATATAAGGAAATCAGAAAGACACATTACTGTAATCATACCACAACATATCTTTCAAATTTTATCTGATTTATACAAAATATTTCGCACAAACCAGGTAAAATGTCAGTCAGTCATAAAATGTCATGTCAGCATTTAATCAATCATTAAAAAATCGTACAAATCTCTTTGCGTCTTCTAAATCACTTTGATTTCCCTACTTTTGACTTTCTTCGGAGTCATGAATTTCACTATTTTTCATTATCATTCTCATTAGTTTTGTTATACATAAATCGCTTTCCTAATACACATACTTTCTTGTTTTAGCAAATAGTCTCTCCACAAAATTTCACTGCTTTTAAACTCTATGATCAACATAATCCTGTTATCTTCATAATAAATAGATCATGTTGGATTGATAATTTACGGAGAATATATTCCGTTCGTGGCATTTTTACGAAAGCAGCGAAATATATTCGTATAAAAGGAGGAAAAGTCAAAGTTATCTAATAAATTTACATCATCTATTAAAAAAATTCACGAAGATGATCGAAGCTAAAGAGAAAATGAAATTATCAATGAAATTTCTTGGCATCAAAAAACGAAAGAAATAGGGATGATGTCGATAGCTGGATAGGTTTCAATAATTTAATGTAGAACTTATTCATAATGCATACCATGTGAAGATAGCGCATGTCAAACCACAAGTATCTCGCACACACCAAGATAGGCCACAAAATCGTGTCTTGTCATCCATTTCGTCCACATGCATCTTATCGAGCAAAAATGGCCAAAGCCATTGTTCAATTACCCGTCTCTTCAAATTATGCAATTCTGCTTCTGAAAATAAGACCTAGAAATTTCAAGATCAAAAAAAAGTGATTATAAATCCCTTAGTACATTCAAATAAAATAATGGAATAATATAAAAAAGAATGCGGTTTAATAAAGTGTACAAAGTGATTTCAATTTAAACTTTAGTTTAATGTGGAATTATCAAAATCTGCAAAAAAAATGTTGAAAAAAAAAAGCTCAAATTAAATAAATCGAATTTTTTTAAAATTTAAACAGAACAAATGATCAACTTTTCTCCCGCCTATAAAATTATCCATTTCTAAGATAAAATATTGGCAAAACATATTCTCCTTTCATGATATGATGATAATAATTCAGCTTTCGAAAATTTTAAAAAAACCATAAATCAATCAGCAATAAATCAATACGTCCGTGAAAAATGAATGATTCATTATAGAATAAAAAAAAAAATTCAGTTAAGGTTGACAATAAATTAGGCCTAGTTTTCAAAATTTTAAATCTATCAATAAATTACTGGAGAATCCACGGTATACCCTGATATTTCTCTAATAATATTGCATGTTGCAGTATATCCAAGATAGCATTTTATACATGGAAGATGTGGAAGCAAATTCTTTAATCTTAAGCCATACGTTAACTTCAATTTTTATACACATTACAAAACATATAATCTAATCTTAGCACTATCTTTACTTCTTTTTCTAGTTAAGGAAAATTTGAATTTCAAAAATAATCGTAAAATTTCGATAAAAAAAAAAGAGCAACAGGCCTAGTTTATCTTAGTTTCAATTTATATATATGTATATATATCTATATAATGCATAAAATACGTATAATCTGATTTTAACATCATCTTAACTTCCTTCTATAATTAAAGATAATTTTGGATTTTTCAAATAATTATAAAATTACGATAAAAATTGAGTTATAGCTTATTGTTATTTATAAGTAAATATGTCCATCTATTGTTATATGAATAAACATATCATGGAAATTGGTAAATATGCAAAATACGAAGAATAGGGAAAAGAGATATTATTTAGATAATCTTTAGATAATCACAGGTATATTATTACATATCTACTATTACCCTCACTTACTCATCTTTACCTACCCAACATTTACCTTACCCAGATCTTAGTCCAACATTTCCGGTCCTCGTCTCTGTTTACTTCATCGATCCAATGAAATGGTTCGGCCATTGATGTATGGTTGTTTTTTTTTGGAGGGAGTATTTTCTTCTTTTTTTTTTTAAGAAATCATATTCTCGTCAATAAAGAGGTATATGTTGATGGTATGGAGAAAGTGGATATCCCATATGAAATGACTAAATTTTTGTTTAAATTTTAAGTTTGAAATCGAATTTTACATATGTGAAAAGAAATTACAAATTTAAACTTAAATTAAACTTGAATTATTACTTGAAAAGTTACCAATTTTTTTGCTAACATTTAATTAATGGTTTGAAAAAAGGAAAATTAAGTTCAATTTGTAATTACAAAATTTTTTTATCTTAATTTTGTTTGTATTATTTATGTAACGAAAACATACAAAATATAGGGAAAAGATGTTCTGGGAAAAGAGTGTAATTTAGTTTTACTAAAGATGAAAACTAAGGGACAACTCGAATGAGTAACGAAATTATTGTTTAATTACTTACAAATAATTACATTTGAACTTCATTATTGAGTGATGGAAAAACACATACCAGTAAATGATCTTAGCGGTGCTGAAACGAAGAGTGGAAATCGCCAAAATGATACTAAACAACACGATACTTCGGAGTATGTATTTTTTTTAATTTTATTTTTGCTTATTTATTTAAGTTAAATTTCAATTTCAAATTAATGGAACCGATTAGAGGAATTCAGTGTATGACTTTTATAGCTTCTAACAGTATAATTAATCGCTCAAGTCAATTCTAAGAAAAAGGTATATTCCCATGTATTAGTCTGTTAACTAAATTGAAGCTTAGCATTGAAATTTAGAAACAGATTTAATCGAAACTCGATCGAAAATCAAATCTGGAAATCACTCAACAGGCGATTAAATAAGTTGGACATTACTGTTTTTCAGTTTCTATTTGTAGGGATTTAGGTCTAGGTTTTGAATTCATTTTTTTTAAAAGAGTGTGCAAATTCTTGAATGGAATCATTTCATACATAATTACTTGATTCGGCTGATGAAACAGCTGTTGAAGGCAGAAGAGACGAGTAGGGTAAGGTTGAATTCATGAAATTAATGCAGCAATGTTTCAGTAAGTTAAACGAGCAGTTAGTTATGTGACTGTTTGGTAGAAATACAATTTCCAAATGTGGAGAGATATATTCTGTTGTATCTAAATCCGATCTGAATGACTTGTTTTGATATAACAGTGGCATTGTTTAAATGATATTGAGGGCTAGCATGACATTTTTCCTGAAGCATCAATGAAACCTTTGCGGCGTTACTTACTATGAATTGATCAAATCAAGTTCTCCGATTAGTTCGTGTGGTAGCCATTGGACCGAACAGACGGATTCGCGATGTAAACCTCCTCCAAATCACTTATTCATGTTGTTTGCGGCGCTCGTCAGAAGATTAGTTGCATTATGCGATGGTAATCGCGACAAATAATATTAAAAGTTGTAAAATACCGAAATTAGTCTCTTAAAAAATGACTCCTTCAAGTCATTTTTGTTTAATAATAATTCCGATAAATACAGAAACAGTCATGATTAGTAATGGGCGTGGAAATAAATCCTATCAAGTGTTGTAAATGGACATAAGCGGTTTGTTTCTCTAATATATCATTCTTCAGGATACCGGATGATCCACTGGTGACATTAAATGAAGTCATTGAAGCACATGAAGAGCTTGAAGCAGAAGCAGAAGCTCTACTGGGAGGAGCTAATGCTAATGTTTGCACATATCCGGAGGTTACCTTTTAGCTTATAGATTAAGTTGGAATTTTAGCTACACATTGTGAAGGTTGGTTTCATTATTTAAGCCTTGCGATAAGTCTTAAATTCTACTAGCTTATTGGCTTCTATTAGCTTAAACTGCTAGCTTAAAAACTACTAGCTTAAATTCTACTAGCTTAAAAATCATTCTCTTGTGCCGCAAAACTTGTTGTGTCGCGATTATCGAATTTCTTTAAATTTATAACTTTGGGTTGCTAGCCCATCACATGGCTGTAGCTTTGGATAGACGCAAGCGAAAAGTTGTGACCTTAGACCGGTCATATTGTTCTTATTATTTTTTTATTTTCAAATACTTCAAATTTACCAAGTTATAGGGATATAAACCACGACAACCACTGTATTCCTGTCGTGACTGTACAAGTACCACAGGTCCTGCAGCGCTTTGCTATGCATGCAGCGTTAATTGTCATGATGGTCATGAACTCGTTGAATTGTACACAAAGCGGAATTTTTGCTGCGATTGTGGAAACTCTAAATTCAAAAATGCATGCACACTCTATAAAGTAATATTCACAACATTGATATTATATTCTAAAGAGAGGAAAAAAAACTAACCATTAAGTATCCAGAAATTTAAATAGGCTTGCAGAGAAATTTTGTGCCAACTCCCAGTTTTGCTGAAATTCCATTGCTTGTTCTTTGTGATACCTATTCGTTTGTGAAATCCAACTTGAGACCTCATCACGCTATGGAAATTGTGCATTTGAATAGCTTTAAAGTATTAGAAGAAAATCCTGAAAGTTTAAAGAAGAATTACTACTCTTTTAGCTAGAAATAGTACTTCTGGTCAGTCCATCGATTAACAGTTTTGTAACTGATTTGTAGCTTTATAATCCAAATTACCGGCACCACAGTGTGTTATGGGAAATTCTCATGATTTTTGACAAAATTCTGTCCATTTTAAAGTCAGATTTTGGAATTGGTTTTAAAATTTTTGTTCTTGTGAATTATTGCTCGGATTCAGCTGTAATGGCATTTTGAAATTGGTTTTAAAATTTTGTTCTGGAAGTAGTTTTAAAATTTTGTTTCGAATCTTTCATGTTCTTTTTCAGGAAAAGAAGCCATTAAATGAGCGAAATCAGTATAATCATAACTTCGATGGTCTCTACTGTACTTGCAATAGACCATATCCATGCGAAGAATACGACGATTGTGAAATGTTACAGTGCATCGTATGCGAGGATTGGTTCCACTTGCAGGTATAAAAAATTTCCCTTAAACAACTCCATTTTCGACTTCTGAACCATTTGATTCAGTCTGTGCATTGCTTAAGCCTTAGATTATTATGGAGAAAGGAAAGAATCTGATATAGGGATTAACGCTGTTTGTTTGTTCTAAAAACTAGAAAAAATGAAAAAGATATAATCAACTGAATAATTATAGTGTTAAAGTTTAATAAATGTATTATTGCATTAATTTCTTGTAGCATCTGGAGGAAACACTCGACAGCGTTGACACAAGTGAAGTGGAAGAGGTAATATGTCGAAATTGTGTCACGCGTTTCACATTCCTGCTATCTTATGCTGACGGAACATACAAAGAAGGGTGTGGGGATGATAATTTATGTAAATTGAAATGGCTTGAAGCGAATGCTAAAACCGATGAAAATAGCCAGCCATGTTCTCTATTTTTCAACTCTTACAAGTGGCGAAACCGTTTATGTCAATGTAATATTTGTTTGGTAGGTTCTTTAAGTTAAATTCCGCTCACAGATGTAAGTCTGTAAGAAATTAATTGGGGAACATGAACTGGAAACTTCTGTATGAGGAGCAATTTTGATTAGCTACTGACTATCATTTGACTATCATGGCTATCATTTGATGAATCGCTTTATGCTTGAATTAGCTCCATAGTAATGTTTGATCTGTTGATTTAACTTTTATCAACTCCAGTTTTTCAGTGACATCTTTTCTGCCTATTACTTCATTATAGATAACACAATATGCTGAAATGTAACGTGGAACTTGGTTGTTCACGCTACATCATTCATCAAATGATAATCAATACTGCTTTTATGTTTTATTGAACTCGAGATTATTATTTAACTTTTCGAGATTACTACTTAACTTTTTGCTTGTGTTATTACTCGAGATTGCTTAACTTTTTGCTTGTATTATTTTGAAGTTTAATTTTTTAGCTACTAGTGTTTTTAGAATTTTTACGAAGACAATAATCTACAGTTTTTGACTGATCTCACGGATTGTATGCAAACATTTGTTGAATCACACGGTAATAAAGGTGATGATAAACCGAAGGATGACGATCGAGTTATGACAAATGCATTGATTGATGTGGCTGGTCGTGAAGGGGCAATTACACTTTTTAAAGGTACAGAAGTTGGTTTGGTATAGTTTTTTAATATAAATTTATGGTTAATCCATTCGTTACCTGTTCACTATCTGCTTTTGAAATCTCTTTTCCAGGTTATGAAGAAATGAAACGCAAACTGGGAAATCACTTGAAACGACTAGCCGATGAAGGAAGAGAAGTGAAAAAAGAAGATATTGATCAATTTTTTCAAGAACTTGAAATAGAACGCAAACGACGCCGCGAGGATATTTTGTCTCAGTTGTGAATTAGTGCTCGGATTTAGCAGCAATGCATGATTCAACATGTAATTGATACCTCTTATCTCGTATTTAAAAATATTCTCATAATGGTTACCAAACCGTCACTGAACTAAATTTGTGCGTGAAAATTGCCATACTTTCAAATAGAACCTAAATATTTTTTTTACGTGGTGTTTTTGACTAAGTCATTAAAACTGAAAAATAACTGTTATCAAAATGACCAAAATTTCATGCACTATCGATATTATTAAAGATCTCACTATAGTTAAGATACTGTCATTTTCAACTTCTCTTTTATAGGTTTTTTTTTTCATTTAAGGCATTTATTGATAGATTTTTCTAGAATAAGATTTCGGCAATATAAATTGCCGAAATGTTTTTTTTTCTGAATGAGAAATTTTGATGAATTCCAGATAATCTTCAAGATGATTAGGTAAGTGAGGATGTAGTGCGATCAATGATTGGAACATGCATGGACCTGTCTCTGTGCATACCATATTCAATTAGATAAATTCGCAAAGATCATTTTAGCAATTTTGAATTTTTAGGGATTTGAAATGTGAACTAAGGTGTTTGGTCAAAAAATAATCAAATAATATTAACATTAATGATATATCTGTACAATACTCGAATTGCATACTCATGAGTAATAGTTACTTTTCGTTTTTATACGAGTTAGTCTAAGGAATTCGATTTAACTTGAACAAGGCAGAAGTGAAAATAATCCCCTCATTTTAACTTTGTAGAAAACGAAATTTTATACCTTCAATATTTGTTTATTTTGTGTGTTGATACTCTAATTTGCATGTTGTACTCTCTTATAATATATACTCTGCTCTCTTATTAATCACTTTGTACTTTTAAAAAGTAGCTTTTTATGGAAAACAATTTCATTTGTCGTTTTACGGCACTGTTTTAATTTTCATGTATGAGCATTCCTTGCTCAATAATATTCAGTAAAACATTTTCGAATGTTTCATGATTCTTGTTTTCTTTTTTTATGAATAAATGATTAGAATCATATTAATAAGTTACTCAAGGAATTGTGAGTAGTACTTTAATCTATCACATTATTACTTCAAGATTACACTAATAATAGTAGCTTATTATGGATGGAAAATTGCTATGTTTAAGGTTAAGAAAGGTAGTAATTTGGAGTTGTCGAAAGTATAAATTATCAAGGAAGTGAAGTATAATTATTTATTTAGATTCCTGGCAAGAGATCAGTATGATTACCTTAGAGCAAATGATCCTTTAGTTTTTTACATTATGAATTTTTCTCATCATCCGTTTGTATTGTCAATGGATTTAAATTCTTTGCATACATGATTGAACAATTTATGGAATTGATTGGTAGTAATTGGATAGATTAAATGGAACTTATCATTGTTTCAAATTTATCAAAAATTGCAGGGTATTTTCTAGCAAGTGAAATTTGTCACTGCAAATTTGATAGTAGCTGTTGGAAGTTTGTTTTATTTGAACATGAAAAACATTGGCAAATTTTATGACAACAAATACTGTTGGTATTAGTGGAAAATGACAAATAGACAGTATACAATTTTACCGAATTATTGTCCAACTCTTAACAGATTACTGTATGCTTTTTTTTTAAGTCTTCAAGTTTTAATAGTATCGAGCATTGATTCTCGACACCATTTTTAGCATTGTGATACAATTCCTTTTTTTTTCTCAGCAATTATGATACACTATTATTTTCCTAATTGTGATTTGTTGAAGGTATTTTTAATGATAAAATTCTAGATTGGAAATTAAACTTGAAATACTCTAGGTTGGAAATTAAACTTGAAATACTTTTAGAATAACTTAAAGGTATTTTGGGATAATATTTAAGCATAAAGCAACTTACGAATTTTTCGTGACGACTTGCAAGCATCTTTTGACTAACTTCAATGCTTCAATGCAGTACTAGTTCACAACTATTCATTGCAGTTAATAGGGTTAAATTACATTATACATGGTTGACCTAATTGTGATGCAGAGAGATCATGTGATGCATAAGAGTAATTAACGATAATGCATGTTTGTCTTATTAGAGTGATATTATCATGAAAGTATGAAGAGTGTTTTATGAATGAACTAATTATGAAATAGAGATATTGAGTGTAAGATGTTGAAGTTAGCATTGAATCAAGTAAATCAAAAATCAGTTAATTGTTTATTTATAGAATATGTATGTTGGCAGTATTTCTTCGTATTCTCGCTTACATTTATTGCATCGATTTTCTGAAAAAGCGTCCAGAATTAAACGTACCACAGAATTCGTTCCGAAGACTTATTGATGGCGTACACATGCTTAGAGATGGCGTTTCTCCGTATAATGGCGATATGATACATTGCGTATGTTTGCTTACATTAATTAATTAATTACTTCTTCATTTGACCGATATGAATAAATCTTTTATTAATATATTTGTAGCAAACATCCAGAAATAATATTATCGTTGCTTTTTATCATTTTATTTTGGTCATAACTTAGCTTATTGTAAACGATTTTAACTTCTTTACTAAGTTTTAATTGTCAGATCAGTTAATGCCTGATCTACAGCTGGGATTGTTTACACTTTAGACATGATTGTTCATCTACCTTTCGAAAATGGCGTGTAGTGTTAATTATTTTGACCTGTTAACATTAATTATAATTGAATCATTAATTATAGCCAATGCTTCATACTACAAACCTTTTATTTATCGTTGAATTTAGTTAGTATTTCTTTGGGTTACTGAAAGCATCTGATTCATTTGTACCACTGCTACCGTTATCCACTCTTACATTCCTACTTGATTTGTTCGATTTGACTTTTTATGAGACAGTGTTTGGCATATAACTTGTTGAAATTAAGTTCGTAATAGTAAACGGTTTTACTTACTATTACATATAGTTTATTGAGATAATTGAAATAATCGTGAAGGTAAATATGAAAGTAAACTTATTTTTAGCAACCTGTACTGCTCTATTTATTCAGTGCATTAATCGATCATCCGAAGCTGTTGTTAATAATATTCTTGGTATGAAGCATTGTTTTTTTTTTCTTCTAATGATAAAATTAAAATATCACCTTAAAATTTCCGGTTATCGTTTGAAGGGTAGGGTGTAGTGTGAGTTATTAAAAATTTCTGTTTAATACTTCGATATTCGTTTAGTGATATACATAGATTAAACGGGATCGATAAAGCATGTTGGAATATTTTCTAAGTGAAATTAAATGTGATTCAGTATGATGGTGTTAAGTGTGCCTGTTTTTGAAAACTTACTAAAATTGATTTTTTTTTTTCTCTAGTTGTTCGATGTAGTGACAAGTGAAATTTTACGCATGGTAGCAGTAGTTTACATGAAAAATCAGGGAAGCAGTGCAGAAAATATCGAACGAATTGCTGATTTAGTTTCAAAATGGTAAGTGAAGTCAATATTATGCTTAGAAGTGCGACTAAAAACTTTATCAGTTATTGTATTCGGTTACCGTATTTTACTCTAAAAATTAAAAGTAATTTTCAAAATAAAACAACTTCCTAAGTGTATTCAATTCTTGAGCACTTTTCAATTTTTTGCATTGATAAATTTCAGCTATATGCTCAATCCTATTGCTGTTGCCAGCTGTGCTATTTTTAGTCTATCAGTTGTTTGCAATCTTATTACTGCTCTATTCGTTTTAGCATTTGTAAAAGGTGAGTTAATTTCTAATTACATTTTTGAGAATTGGTTCTACGGTAGTATCACCAACAGCAAAACAAAAAACTTGTGAGTTCACAGTTCCTTTTATACAAGCTAACAGTAAAATAATATCAAATTATATTGTAGCATTAAAGTCAACACATATTGTTGAAATCTCAGATTTATATTTCCTTCATCTGTACCAGGAAAGTACGTTTCAATAAACAGTGAAAATTTCAGGTTCCCTATTATTTAGCTCGATATTATTCAGTGTGCTTGTGCACCTATCGCTTTATCCATCTATTTACATATGCGCTTTGTTGGTGAAATTTTCATCATTTAAGGAACGTACACTAACAATTACATCTTCGATCATTATGCTGATTGGATTATTGTTTTTTAATCGTTTTTTGAATGAAAATAGTTGGAATTACGTTGACTCAACATATAAGTTTTTGTAAGTTTTGATTTTTTTTATTCATATTTTTTTTTAAAAAAGTGTTGCTGTGAGGCAGAAGCTAGAACATAAAACTAAAATATGCATGAAAAAAAAAATATACAATTTTGTGTTATGTATAATGTAGCCTTGCATATTAAACCTAATTATGATTTACATTTAATTCGCTTTATTCTTTACTTGACATTTTTCAGGTTGGATGTTCGTGACTTGACACCAAATGTTGGCATATTCTGGTATTTTTTCATTGAAGTTTTCAACCATTTTCGGCGCTTTTTTCTTTGGGTGTTTCAAGTCAATATCCTCGTTTACCTTGTACCCTTATCATTGACATTAAGGTGACATTTGTTACTGAAATCAAAAAATTTTCAATCCACTCTTGTCTATTACCCTAGATTACCTGATTATCCTTATTCCAAAGAATGTTTAAAAGCATAAATTTCAGTGCGTAATCTGAAAGGTGTAGTTCAGTCTTCTATTTGTTATATATCATCATAACAGATTGAGTTCTAGGTCATATTTTTGGCTTCAGTGCATTCATTACCATTGGCAACTGTTTTTATTTCAGATCCAATGCTTTCCTCCTTCTACATCAGCTAATGATTCTCACTTCTGTCTTTGCATCGTATCCATCGATGGCTGAGAGTTTGATTTACCTCAGTTTATTACCCCTTTTTGAAAATTTAATAAAGTGTTAGTTTCATAACTCTTCGTATTCTCATCCATTTGTATACCTAATTGCTTTCCAATGATTTCAGTTTCCGATGATTGAAAACTAGATTTTTTAAATATAAGGACATATTTGAGAGTTATCTCACTTTTAAAATTTCGATTTCTTTATAAAGTTCTTTGAATGTTTTTTTCTAAATTTCCGCAAAAATTTCCCGTAAAAATTTTTTGCTTAATACTGAATAAAAAAGCATAATTCGTTTCGATACCTACTTTCCTATTTCATCAGATTTCCGTTGGGGATTGGTTTCCGGTGGAGCACTCTCAGCAACAATCGTCTTAGCACCAGTAATGTGGCAAATGTGGATTGTTACCGGTTCAGGAAATGCAAATTTCTACTTTGCTGCCACTTTAACTTATTCCATTGCCCAGGTATTCATTAACCTCCTTTCTTGCTCCGTTTAAAATAATGTATCAAAATTCTAATTACTGTTAAGAACTGACCATCGTGTCAAACCGGACATCTTTGGTTCTCGTGTTTCACATTTTGATAAAGTTGAGGGGATAAATATTCGCTTCCATTTTTTGCTCTTCCCTACTTTCTCTATTAATCCATAATTTATTTTTCACAGATCTTTTTGCTTACCGATCTTCTTTATGGTCATTTACGCCTGAAAGTAATCAAGGGAAGAGGAATAACTGATGAAAGCAAAATAGCAGTTCTTATGTTCAAGTAAATTACGCATTCAACAATATTATCCTATTGAATTCTGTGATCAGATTGAATTGTTGCTTTATTTCGTTATATTTGGTCTGTGTCATTCCATCACTTCGAAGAGCATACTTCTGTATCATTGTTTTTTCTTTTTTTTTTCTGCACACTAATATTTAATAACAGAACATATTAAATCATATGACAAAGGGAGATATGTTAATATTAGGCTTTTTGCCCTATCTCAAAACCAGCATTTAATGTTGCTGGAATGATTTGTCTAATATTCATATAGCAGAAAATATAATAAATCAGCAAAAGACGAGTCTAACTTCAATGGTTCGTTTCAGATACTAAAAATTTTCCATTATTAAATGCCAATAAAGTTAATTACTCAAGTGCTAATGCCTATGTTTCAAGTACTGTTCCTAGTCTGACGATATTAATAACGAGCAAGCACTGAATTGTAACATGATTAGATCGAACAGGAAATTATTCATGATAACTTGACAGATAACTTGCAGAAATGCTTGTTCATTTTAGAATATGGTTATAAAAAACGTACTTCACCACATCTCCATGAATTTTTATTTTTGTGATCATACTGATTATACTGATAAATGTGAAATGGATCTCTACAAAGATCCTTAATTTTTTTAAATCAGCTTTGGCGATTGAAAATTGACAAACTTTTATTGGAGGCGAAAGGTTTTGAATTCTTCCACTCGATATATGAGAAGTGAAGAGTTCTGAACTATGATTCATTCGGTTCAATATGTTACAGTTGATTTTTATTTCTGGAGACTTTCCGCAAATGAAAGTTGTAATTGAATGGTCTTTTTTTTCATAAAATAAGAGATGGAACCGTTTGAAATTTCAAAAGAAAATTTCAAGTTTCCTGGAAATTTTCCTATTGCAATTCTGTAAGAAATTCATAAAACTGAAGATTTATTAATAAAAAAAACGATAGAAGTGATTATCACAGTTATGAGAATTTAAGACATATGTACCTATCCTGCATAGTTAGTTTTGACTGTTCCCAAACCAACTTGTAGAGATTTTATAGAATGATGAAAATGACGGTGTAGCTTTGATACTGCCTAACTGTTGTTGAGTTCTTGATTCCTTCTTTTTCATAACTGCTACACCAGCTGAGGATGGTATATCATCGAACTTCTGCAAAAATTTTGAAAATCTTGAAAAGTTAGATCTTTTTTAAATGGATTATTGAACAACTGGAAAAGCAAACTAACAATATAAACAAATTAAATTTCACACAACAGCTTGAAGTATTAAGAGTTTCAATTAATCTCTGATAGAAGCGGTTATGGATAACATCTCACTTCTGGATATTACTTACCGTATTCTTCGTTAAACGCGGGATATGTGTAAGACGTGGTGCATCACTAAACCTAGGCACAATATCAACAACAGCCGAAAAAGATGCACTTAAAGAAGGCTCCTTGTTAATTATTACATCCGAAAGCAAATGCGCAAAAATGATCTGAAAAAAGAAAGACCAGAAATATCCGAAAACAGGAGAAATTACATTGCTTGAGAGGTATGAGGAAAAAAACTATGATGCCGACGTCAACTAATCTACTCAACCAATTCATTTATTTATGCCATCGGTGATTCCAATAGTAATAGTAGCGCCAAGAATTAATTCGAGGTTACAAGGATGTATCTCATCCTATGTGAGTGAAAATTTTTCTAATTTTCATGCAATCTCAATTTAAAGATCAAAACAACACTTGTGGGAATAATGAACAAGAATGAAAAAACGATACAAACCGAATGACGTTGAGCAACCACTCGAGCATTTTTCCCAAGCGGGCTAGAGATAAGACTCAAATCAAACGGATCCAATTTTGCTTCTAAAAGAGGAATTAGCGAACGCATACCACCGCTTGGTAAGATAATATTTAAGAAGCGAATATCGAAAAGATATTGCAGAACGATTCGAGATGATAGCTCAACACTAGAATGAGCAATGACAGAATACACCGAAAGAAGTAACTGTTCAAGGTGCCGTGAAATATGTGATCGAATATTCCGCGTACATAAATAACCAACGGAATCGTTGGAGATCTGAAATTTGAAGTTTAAACTTTACTTTTAAAATGGATCGTAATCTTATCTTGAAGTGTATAATGAAGCGATAACCC